TCAACCCTCCAGCGAAGACGTACATCACGTCGTTAAAGCCCTAACAGACCTCGCCATGTCGTCGTTCTGGTCAAATTCGGGAGGAGCGGTAGAAACAGAATACGCCATCCGCGATGACAACCTCGTTATTCCCAGGATTGTACCCGACATCCGCTTCGCAGACTTCGTCGAGAGCTCCAACGATGAAAGTCACGATGAGGAAGGCTCCAGAACACTCGTGGATTGGAAGTACTTCGACGACAGCCGGCCTCTGATGTTTGACGTTCGGGTGCCCGGTTTGCTCAACACCATCCGCTTTGTGGACAACGACAAGATGAGCGAGCCCCTGGGTCCCGATCAGATCGAGGTCCAAGCTCGCGCATACGGCCTCAACTTCAAAGACGTTTTCATCGCGTTGGGCCAGATGGCCCCCGGCACTGCAATGACCGGCGAGGTTGCCGGTGTCGTTACCGCAGTCGGTTCAGATGTCCAGTCGTTGTGGAAGCCTGGCGATAGAGTCGTCGGTCTGATGGTGGCGGCCTTTGGCAACCGGGTCCGCGTCAACAGCAACGGAGTTGTCGCGATACCCGACTCCGTCAGCTTCGTCGACGCCTCGTCCGTTCCCATCATCTACTACACGGCCTGGTACTCTCTCACGCACTGTGCCCGGCTCGAAAAAGGCCAGAGTGTGCTCATCCACGCGGCCTCGGGAGGTGTCGGCCAAGCTGCCATCCAGCTCGCGCAGCTGGTCGGGGCCAACATCTTCGCCACCGTGGGCAGCATCGCCAAGAAGAAGCTGATCCAGGATCGATACGGTGTGCCGGAACACCAGATATTCTCTTCGCATTCTAGCCATTTCAAGAAACACATCATGGAAGCGACGCAGGGCGCAGGCGTTGACGTCGTCCTGAACTCGCTCTCCGGCCAGCTCCTGATGGACAGCTGGGACTGCGTTGCCCCGTTCGGCACGTTTCTCGAGATCGGCAAAGCGGATATATACGCCCGGAGCCAGCTGAACATGGCCAACTTCGAGAAGCAGGCGACCTTTGCGGCCGTGGACACCTCGCACATGTACCGGCTCCGTCCGGAGTACATGACGCGAGGGCTCAAGGAGATCTTCGACATGATCGAAAACGGTCTGTTGAAGCCCGTGTACCCGGTCACCACGTACGACATGAGTCGCATCGAGGAATGTTTCCGTCTCATCGCGACGAGGAAGCACATCGGAAAACTGGTGCTGGTGGCCGATGAGAACACCATTGTCCAAGCAACCAAGCCGAAGCCAAAGCCGCTTCGGTTGCATCAAGAGGGGACGTATGTCATCGGCGGTGGTTTCGGCGATCTTGGAAAGAAGATGAGCAAGTTCCTGGCCGAGAAGGGGGCAGGACACATTGTTGCACTGACACGACGAGACGTCGACGCTCAGCAACGGGCGCCATTCGAAGAGACCATCGTCAGGCTGGGTGGTAGACTTCACATCGTCAAGTGCGACATCACAGACGAGAGAAGCACGCTTGCAGCCAGGGAAGAGCTTCGCAAGCTACCACCGGTCAAGGGCGTCATCCAGGGGGCACTAGTTCTTTGCGATCACCCCCTCGAGTACATGAAACTTGAAGACTGGAGGACAGCCGTGGACCCCAAGGTCCAAGGCACTCTCAACATGGACAAGGCGTTCTGCTCCCCTGAGACGACCGACTTCTTCATCATGCTCTCCTCCGTCACGAGCAAGATCGGCCTGACCACCCAGAGCAACTACGCGGCAGGCTGTGCTTTCCAAGACGCCTTCGCGCAAGCCCACGCCTCGAGTGTGGGAGCTTCGGGAACCACCCACTACATGACCATCAACGTCGGCGCCGTCGAAGGCTCAGATCAGATCGCCCGCGCGAGCAGCGACTTCATCCGGTACGGCGGCTCGGTCACGCTCGACGAGTTCTTCGCCACGCTCGAGTACGCCATGGGTGACCAGTCTCGGATCGATGGCGCTTCGCAGTGCATCATGCCCTTCGACCGCGACTCGATGGAAGACGGCATGGGACCGGAGGTCCTCAACGACCACCTCTTTGATCACGTTCCCAGCAAGAGAAGGCGCGGCGGCACGGCCAACAACACCAAAGTCGACAACGCGAAGCCCAGCGCGACCCAGGCGGTCCAAGAGGTCGAGACCGTTGCGGAGGCCGAGGAGATCGTCAAACAGGCGCTGCTCGACAAGTTTGCCGCGTTCTTGGGCGGCGAGGTCCCGGACGACCAACCCGTCGCGACGCTCGGTTTGGATTCTTTGGTTTCCATCGAACTCAAGAACTGGGTTCGACACACCTTCCAGTCGCCGTTGCAGACGTCCGAGTTGAGTGGCGCGCGAAGCATCATGGCGCTCGCCAACCTCATCGTATCGAGAATGGAGTTAAAGTGCAGGGTCAATGGCAAGACGGCCGCCGGCAATGGTGACGCCAATCATCACGGCGGTCAAGATGACACGAGCCTCGAAGCCTCAGGTGAACATGCCAGTCAGCATGGATACGACTGTTGCAAGTTGAGCGCAGAGCTGCCTGTCCAGCCAATTCCCGAGTTGGACGACGCTCTCGATTTCTGGCTCGAGGCGAACGAGCATCTCTACGACCCTGACCAACTTCTCGAGGTCCATCAAGACATCGAAGCCCTCCGAGCCCCCGACGGCCCTGCTCGACAGATTCTTGACGGCTTGGTCAAGGAGCATGGCCATGACAAGAGCAATGGCTGGTTGAACGAGATCGTCACGGACGCTCGCTGGCTGTGCAGGAGGTCCCCAATCGCCCCGTATGCCAGCACTATGGGCGGACACCGCGACGCGAAGACTCCTCAGTCGCAGGCCGAGCGTGCCGCCACCATCATCGCGTCTTCTTTGTCATTCAAGCGGGCCGTCAAGGCCGGAAAAGTCAAGCCCCTCGAGGTCGCGGGCAGACCAGAGTGCACGTGGAGATGGGGCTGGCTGTTCAACTCGATTCGTATACCACAGCTCAGGTGCGACGCGATGAAGAGCTTCGACTCGGACGAGAAAGACGCCCTCGATCACATCGCCGTCCTGAGAAGAGGCCACTTGTTCAAGGTCATGCTCCAGGACCGGGACGGACAAGACTTGTCGTTCTCTGATCTGGTGGCGACCTTTGAAGAAATCGTCTCAAAGGTTGGTCCGGACCACCTCTGGACTAGCATCCTGACCACAGATGATAGAGACTCGTGGGCTGTTGTAAGTGTCATTCATGCACTTCTTGTACTGAATACTAACAGTCCTTTCAGATGCGAGAAAAGCTGGCGACGGCGAGCGCTGCCAACGCAGAGTACTTCCACACCATCGACTCTGCAATGTGCGTTCTATGCCTGGATGATGGCTCCCCAGAGACTGGCGAGGAGATTGCTCGACAAGGCTACATCGGTGACGGATCCAACCGCTGGTTCGACAAGGTGCTGCAGTTCTACGTGACATCCAACGGCCGCTCCGGCCAGATCACCGAGCACGGCATCATCGACGGCACGACCCCCGCCCGTCTTCTGGAATGGCTCTCGGCTGCCATGGACAAGCCATTGCCCGAGAGCCCAGCCAGACTGAACGGAAACTCCTCGTCCCACATTGCGCTGCACGAGTTTGTCCTCGAGACGACGCCCGAGGTCGAGAACCGGATCGGGCTCGTGAGAAAACAATACGTCGACAACACCTCAGTCGCAACCTACGTCCGAGAGGAGCTCACCGAGTTCGGGACCGACTTCCTCGTGCGGTCCAGGGTGTCGGCCAAGGGCGTCGTGGACATCACGTTCCAGCTCGCGCTGCGCCTGTTCTTCGGACACAACGTGCCGTCCTGGGAACCCACCAGCGCCGCGCACTTCCACACCGGCCGATCCGATGCTGTTCAAAGAGCGGTCCCGGCCGTCGTTGCCTTCTGCGATGCGGCCGCGCAGGCGTACCGGCACCAAGAGGAGTCCGAGCAGGCGGGGAGACTAGCCGCCCTGTTGTCGGCCGCGACGAAGAAGATGAACGTCGACATGCAAACCATGCTGAACGGCCGGAGTTACTTGCGCCTCTTCGAGGTCCTAAGCTACCTCTGGCCCGCCGAGGCCAGCAGCACGCCCAAGCCACGCTTTTTGGGTGAGCACGTCTTCTTCGGCAGGCCTCACCCGCCCGTCTTTGCCCAGAGCAACGGCTTGGAGGGAGACATCATGTTCCAAGACTTTGTGCACCTCATGGCGGATACTGACGGGTTTTGGTCAATCTTGGTCCCGGAGAAGGACAGGTAAGCAACCCCAGTCCACGCTGCATGGGATGTTCTAACTCGTCATTGCTGCAGAATTCGCTTTTCCTTGACAGGCGGCTCGCAGGAGCGGACTCGGGCGTTTGTTAAGGAGCTTAGATGTGCCGCAAGAATTGTGCGCGGCATTCTTCAGGGGGTTCAGTAGAGTTGGATTATGAGTAGGAGTGGTCAGTTGAACGGAGAGCATCAGTTGGCTCGGGTATCTTCACTCATTTGGCAGGTCAGCTACGTTCGATAGTATGATTTGAATGTGTAATGTAAGATTCGAATGAGGTTGGCAGCGGAGGAAGCTCTTGGTCCCTCGTTTGGATTGGTAAAGATGAGATTGGACGGTGAAAACCAGGCCAAGCGAGTGAAATGGCGACTGTTGTGAGGTATGTTCTGCCATCTTTGACGAATGATTTTGATGCGAAAGTCTGGCTACTATAAATTGAGCCATTTCAGACTTGATCTTGAGATGCCTTGCCACTACCAGACGAGATAGATCGTGATGTGAAGAGGAAACAGGATAACTCATCAAGCCCATGTTTCATCCGGGGCAGACCATTTTCCGTCAATAACAGTTTGCAAGATGGGTCGGGTATGTACCTCGATATAGCTAGTGCTTATCGGAAGTCCATTTATACCTTATGATGCCGGCTTTCCCATGGACCCTTCAGTTCCCCCCCTCTCACACTTGACGCTCATCTTCTTGCGCCCGATTCATACGCTCCCCTGCCCCCCCACGTCGACATACAGCCCGCCATGTCACCTTCTCGCACCACGTTGAAGCCCCTCAAGCCCTTGGTGCTCATCTGCAGCACGCCGGTCTCGGGCCACATCATACCGATGCTGACGATAGCGGAGCAGCTCGTCTCGCGGAGCTACGACGTCTGCTTCGTGACCGGCTCGGGCTACCGTCCACGCGTAGAGGCCGCCGGCGCGTCGTTCGTCTCGGTCGAAGGATACGGCGACTTTTATGACCTGACTTCGTGGGATCTGGACCCGTCCTGTAAGTGCTTCCGTTTTGTCATATGGCGGTGTAAATAGTGTCGATATTCCATGTATCTAATCACTCCAAACCGAATTTCCCCCCTCCAAACTCACCACCGAGCAAACGCTGAACACACCCGTCCGCAGGGCCCGAGGGCAAGAAGCACTTGGAAGGCACGGATTGCTTCATCCACGACCTGGTACACATATTCTGCAGATCCATCCCCTCGCAGCACCACGCCCTCCAAACCGCCCTGGGAACGCTCGCCTCAAAGCACCCGGGACGGCCCACCATCCTCCTCACAGAGAGCCTCAACTTCGCAGCCATGCCCATCCTCCACGGCGCCCCGGGCCTCCGTCCCACGGGATACATAGTCATCGGCCTCAACCCCATGATGCTCTCCAGCATCGACCACCCGCCCTTCGGTTCCGGCTTGCCCCCGGATGCCTCCCCGGCCGGCCGAGCTCAGCACGCCGCCGCCAACGCAGCTCAAAGGGAAACCTTCGCCGCAGCCCAGTCCTCCTACGCGGAGGCCCTCGCGAAGCTGGGCGCGGCGCGGGAACCGGAAACCTTCCTCCTCGACGCCCTCTACCACCTCCCAGACCGCTTCGTGCAAATGTGCGTACCCAGCGTCGAGTACCCCCGTTCCGACGCGCCCCCGGGCCTCCGCTTCTCCGGCGGCTACCCCAACGGTCCCAAGGACCCCTTCCACCCGCGCCCGGCCTGGTGGCCCGAGGTCGTCGCCGCGAAGGCTGCCGCCCGCAAGCTCGTCTTCGTCTGCCAGGGCACCGTGGCAATGGACCTCACGCAGCTTGTCGTCCCCACGATGGCCGCCCTCGCGGGCCGCGAGGACGTCCTCGTCGTGGTCGCCGTGGGGCGCAAGGGCGCGAGCCTGCCGCCTGGCCTGGAGGTGCCGCCCAACTGCAGGGTGACGGATTACGTGCCGTACGACGAGGTGCTCCCCCACTGCGGCGTCTTCGTCACGACGGGCGGGTACGGGGCGTTCCAGCGGGCGGTTCGGAACGGGACGCCGCTGGTGGTGGCCGCCGCGACGGAGGAGAAGCCGGAGACGGCGGCGAGGGCGGCGTGGGCCGGGGTCGGGGTGGACCTGAGGACGGGGGATCCGTCGGTCGAGCAGCTCCGGCGAGCCGTGGGGGAGGTGCTCGAGGATGGGAGGTACAAGGCCAGGGCGGCGGAACTGCAGAGGGAGGGGGCCGGGTTTGACCCCATGGACGTGGTTGTGGGAAACGTGGAGGAGTTGGCGGCGGAGAAGGCTGCGCTGAGGACGCCATGAAGACCCGCGTCCGCGAATTAGACACACAGAGAAGCTATCCAATGTGATGTGATCAAAGAGTTGACATCATCGTGTTCCTCGTTCCGAAACCCTGTCGGCGTGTTAGACCGACTCGGCAGATGCAGTACAGGATGAGGCCATTCTAGGCTTCCGTATTCACAATCCGTCCAGACCGATCCGACTAGAGTCCCCCCCACCCCCCAGTTGCCGAGACATAGCAGCGGGCGGAGGATGACAGGTTACACGAACGCCGATGGCTAAGCTCAATCGGCGAGGTCGCGAGTGGCAATCTATAGCCATGCAGTGAGACGGAGACGGCCCTTCGGCTGCACGATCCATGTCCCTTGCAGACCCTCCGAGACCACCCCGGCCAACCCACCCACACCACACCAGCAACCTTCGATGGTTACGAGCACGGCATGGGGCCCCGAGGCCGAGATAACCGTACGGATGGCGTGAAGAGAAGGTTGATACCTCTGGGCGGCGTAGTGTTCTGACCCGCCGGTAAGCCAGCAGATATTCAAAACATCCCCCCGCGATGCGTTCTCACTCGCATCTCTCCGTCGTGGCATCGAGTGAGAGGTGTTGTCGAGATGAGCACAACCGGCATGCTGGACCTCTCGCGAGGGACCGTTGGTCTCTGCGTCCTCGTCGTGCTCGCCGCCTCCATGCTCTCGAGGTTCTTCCTCGCGAGCTGCCGGCCCAGAAACTTCCCGCCAGGCCCTCGGACAGTCCCCTTCCTGGGAAACATCACCCAAATACCGAAATCAAAGGGCTTCCTAAAGTGCGTACCCTCAGAACGCATCTGTTCCATCCCCATACTAACAGCGAAACCCCAAGATTCCACGACCTCGGGGCCACCTTCGGCTCCATCATCGGCCTCAAACTAGGCTCCCAAAACTTCGTAATCCTAAACAACTACAAACACGTACGAGAGTAAGGCAACCTCCCTCCCCCTCCCCTTCAACATACCTAACATCCAAAACCCAAAAGACTCTTTGACAAGCGCGGCTCAATCTACTCCTCCCGCCCCCGCACCTACGTCGCAAACACCCTCGTCTGCCCGGGCGACATCCACCTCCTCCTCCTCCCCTACGGCCCCGCCTGGCGCGTCCAGCGCCGCGTAGTTCAGTCCCTCCTCGCCGTCAACCGCGTCGACGCCGTCCTCCCCGTCCAGGACGCCGAGGCCACGCAGACCCTCTCCGACCTCCTCCGCGACCCGGCGGGCTACTACGACCACGTGCGGCGATACACCACCGCCGTCGTCCTCGCCGCCGTGTACGGCGTGCGCGGCGCCCGCTTCGACTCGCCCAACGTGCGCGCGCTGTACGCCGCGCAGGACGAGTTCACCGCCGTGCTGGAGCAGGGGGCCACGCCGCCGGTGGACGCGTTCCCCTTCTTGAAGATGGTGCCCGCGGCGCTGGCGGGGTGGAAGAGACGGGCCGCGAGGGTGAGGAGGGAGCAGATGGGGTTGTATCTCTCGCTGGTGGCGGGGACGAGGGAGAGGATCCGGGAGGGGAGGAGCCCGGATTGCTTTTTGGGGGAGATGCTGAGGGATCAGGAGAAGAATGGGTTGGATGACGAGCATTTGGCGTACCTGGCCGGGAACCTGGTGTGTATCGACTGGGAAGCTAATGTCGTGCGTGTTGCTGATAGTTTGCAGATGGAAGCCGGCTCGGATACCACGGCTTCGACGTTACTATCCTTCCTCCTCGCGATGATCAAGTACCCGAAGGAGTTCCGTAAAGCACAGGAAGAAGTCGATCGGGTCTGCGGCCCCCTGCGGTCCCCGACGTCAGAAGACATCGGCCGTTTACCCTTCATCGAGGCGTGTATGAACGAGGTGACACCCTCCCCTTCCCCCTTTTCCCCCCCAAAGGCTTCACCTAACGCAGAACCTCCAGACCCTCCGCTGGCGCCCCGTAGCAGCCGGCGGCGTCCCGCACATGCTCACGCAGGACGACACGTACCAGGGCTACCACCTGCCCAAGGGCACCGTCCTGGTCGCCAACACGTGGGCGATCCACTACGACGAGGACGAGTACGAGAACCCGGCCGAGTTCGCGCCGGACCGCTTCGTGAGGGAGAAGTACGGGACGCGCGACCCCGTCGACGAGAGCGCCGACGACCACCGGCGCGTGCTGTATGGGTTCGGCGCGGGCAGGCGGGTGTGTCCGGGGCAGCGGCTGGCGAGGAACTCGCTGGTGAGTGGCACTAAGCCCTGAGTCGTAATTCCGAGAACTGTTGTGACTGACTTCTACCGATAGATATTGAACATGGCCAAGATCGCGTGGGGGTTCGATCTCTCGCCCGGGGAGGGGGAGGTGGACGTCGACGTCGGCACGGCGTACACGGACGGGTTCCTGATCGCGCCCAAGAAGTTTCCGATCACGATCCGGCCGAGGTCCGAGAGGCATGCTGCGGTGATTGAGGAGGAGCAGAGGAGGGCTGAGCCTTTCTTCGCAAAGTACGCGGCATGACTCAACGTAGCGATGGAGTAACTCGAGATTCAGTCTCGCAAAATGGCGTGTGATGTGTTCTGTAACCGCCTTAAGAGCAGTGACCCTCACCCGTTATATTGTGTTTTTGTGCATACTTCTGGTTGTCTGAAGTTTTATCCAGGTTTTAACTGTCCGTCTAATCTCATTCCATTGGTCTGAACTAAACTCCCGCAGGCTCTTAGACTGCCGCATCACATTTCCCAAGTTCTATTCGTTGTCAAAACCTGATTCTGATCACATAAGATATCTAATTCCTTTAGTATACCACAATTCCGTATATACTCCATGTCCTATACTCCTTCCGGTGCTGGATTCCATGGACGCATGCTTTGCCGCCAAGCATCGCCGTGAAGGTGAGCCGCCTCAACAGCCGTACAATACGACTCATCAGAGACATCTCGATGATCTTTATGAGTAGGATATCCACCCCAGCCTAAAGTATATGAGTCAAAGATAATGGCCTGGGGCTCCATGACTTCATCTCGGTAGACGGTGCGGTACATCGCCCACTCCAGCTGAGCCTTCTTGTCAAAATAACCATCTCTGACATCTACGGCGAAAACCCGATCTCGTGGTTCGACCGCATGCCACTCTCCCACCTTGAAGTCAGCACACGAGTGGCAATTTATGTCTCGGCCTCTCTCTGAAAGCCGTTTCAGTCGACAAGTTTTCATCCAACAGTTCATGCCAACCCGGTGCCTAGAAGGGCATTTGATTCGCATCGCCGCATGGCCTTCCAAAGGCCATCCCATCTCCTCTTCACAGATAGCACACTCCCTGTCCTCATCTGAAAGCGCAGCGATTTCCTCCTCTGACAAAGGTATCACAGTATTTTGTATCGCCGCCGCGCTCGCAAACTCGTCTTCCCGATGGAGCGAGCGGTTTCGGTGGAAATAATGATGCATCCCTAGCATCCGCAGCTGGTCGAACCAGGCATCACCGCCAAACCCCACAGGTTCGCCGAAAAGTAGTTTCCTTTCGGGCATCGGGCGTGCGCCTTGCCTGCAGAGTTCAGCAAGCTTGTTCGCGCAGGCCGGCGTGAGCTGAGGATCTTTGCCCCAGTCCTCCATTTCGAAGAATAAGATGTTCTTGAATATGCGCATGACTTGAAACATGCGCAGGAACGTGAGGCCACAGTCGTTGATTACCAAGTTCTTTGCTGTGTTGATAAGACGCATACGGAAATTCAACTCGATCTCCTTGACAGAGTCATATTCGTTCCCGTAGTGGCCGAGAAACTTTTCGTACCATGCTTCGATGCCGCCTTCTTTCATGTTCCAATCATGTTCCATGCTTTGGCTCATTATTATGTGCGCTTTGTCGTTGTCCCAAATGTCCATGAAAAAAGGGATGACCTGGATCTCACCGACCGACGTCGGCCGCTTCAGGTGATTGAGCTGGCTCAAGTCAGGCTGCCCTGCCATCTTCGCCATTGCCATATCGCGACAAGTGTGGCCTGCGTTCACCGGATCGTCCCACGCGTATTCCTTCTTTTGTTCGTTGACGTAGACTATTTTGTCTCCAATGAGCACTGGAGTAGGATGGGTGCCTTCTCTGGGGTAAAGATAGGTTCGAGCAACAGTCTGTCGCATTGCTACGGCAATATTGTGTAGCTCCGGCTCCATGTTAGTCCTGTTGCAATCGCATAGGCCACCCTCGTCGAAGTGATCCTTGCTGAAGCGGCAAGCCATTTCCATCTTCGACGTGCGGTAAAGTTGGAGATGGTCCTCATCGGCGGGGATAATAGGCCATCTTGGGACTGTTGATGTTATCATGATGTCGCACAACGCTTGTGCGTAAGACATGGTGGCCTCCTCTTCCCGTGCACTTCGCGGGTTGACACCCGTCGACGCTCCTGATAAGGGGCCTTGCCATCTGCGTGACAATGGCTTCGTGACGGGCTCCACGAATTTCCCGGTACAGTTATGGCAGGGGAAGGGGTATCTTTCGTCACACACGGAGAGAACATCTGGTTTGATGCAGAGTTCGTAGAGGGGATTCGCGCAGCGGACGAGGTATTGATGAGTGTGGGTGTCAACGGCGCCGTTGGCCTGGCAGGAAAAGTGTCTGCTCAAGAAGATACACATTGTCGCAGCAGTCAGTAGTCGAGGAAGAAAGAAGACTAGTGGAACTGTGCTGTCGAAAATGGTCAAAAGAGGGAAACGAAAAAAACAAAACAAAAAAAAACACAGCAAGAGCATGTCGCCTTTAAGAATGGCCAGCAAGGACCCTTTTCACCTTGAGTATTCTGATTTCATCACCACGACCGCAAACCACCAGTGTCTATGACTTGTAAGGGAGGCATTCGAAAGTCCCCAGAGCAGGCCTGAAGAGGTGATACGAGCCATTGTCTTTGGGTTCTTCAGGGTAATGGAGAAATTGGGTAACTCGCAGTCTTTGTTGCCTTTCTCCCACAATAGCGAGGGCCTCTGATACAGCATTGCCTGTTGTTGATAGAAGCATTGCATCTTTGTCCCAAAATTCATCGTCGAGAGGGACATACACGTAGAGGAATAGATGCTAGCCCGGTTCAGATTGCAAGTTGAAGGAGAATCGCAGCCGCGACGAAAATAGGAGCTCATTATCTCGGTACGTCTCCGACGGCACCTACAACCTGACAACGGCCCTTGCTGCAAGTCATTGTACATGGGCAACACATGGCACTTGCCGAGTGCAGCTTCCACTGTGACAAGACATATACTATAAGATGAATTGTCTTCTTTCCCCAGGCAATGTTGGTGCCCAATAGGTTTGGAGGCGAGAGAATGCAGGGTGCAGCTGCAGGCGGCACGTCGTGGTGTAGGCCGAGTGGCTGGTAGCACAGCTGCACAGTCGCCCTGTCTTCTCGGCAAAGGGACCTTAATCAATTGAAGGAGAAGGGCCGTTGGGTTGCCATTGAGGTTGGGGAGGTGCAGCTGTCTCGATCCGGCAATGTCAGCATCGAACATGCGGAAGGGAGCCGGTGCTTGCCGGTCATGCTTTCAATCAAACGCGGTGGTTGAAGCGATGCAGGAGGAAGGTGATGTTGGAGAGAACACACAGAAGAGAAGAACAACAGCCCACCGCAGCTACGGATACAGTGCTACGGGAGCTTAGTCAGGCGCTCAATGCCCCGATAAGATAGCACGCCAACGTAAACTGCATCGCCAGCTTGACCCCTTCTCCTCCTAATGTGCCATCCATGACTTTCATCACCTCTGCCCCTTGTCAACATCGTCCAGCATCGCTTCCGAAGCCATGGAAGAGGACGGAATACTCCACTGCTCCATCAAAGAAGCTTCAACTAGACCCGTCCGCTTCGGAACGCCATGACCGATCCCACGCTTACCGCGACGATGGCGGCCCATTGACCCTTCGATCGTCTTGATGCCCAACGGCGGCTTCACGATTCAAGCATTCGTGGCGAGCACTTCCGTCATTTCCTCATTTCTCATTCTCATCGTCGCCTCTGCATTCACATTGGCGACTACTGGGTCTACACGAAGGAGGCGATCCGGCAGACTTGCCAGTGCAACTGCTGCAGTCAACCCCAAGGCATCAGCCCATTGCAGCTCGATAGCCTCACCTGACGCGACTGGCAGCCCTCAACTCCCCCACGACACCACCAGCAGGAACACCCCCAGGTTGGGCTGTGGACGGCCCGACGAGTGCGGGAACCGCTGCATGGGGGAGCCATGGTCGCGCCTGCAATGAATCCATTGGTTTGGCGACTGCATGCGGCACGCATAATCGTGGGCAGCCTGCCTTTGGCCAGCTGCATCTTGTTCTTGTTTGGACGCGGATATACACTCTTACACTCCCTCCACCTCCGCATTCGCTGCGCAGTGCCACTCTTGCATATCTCCTCCCCGTTTCCAACCTCTCAGAAGCATCACGGAATGCCCATCAACTCACGCGAGATCCCAATGGGCACGTCCGGCGCCCATCCATGTGCCTGTGCCGCTCTTCCTGGAGGCAAACCCAAGGTTAAATATGCTTCTCGCTCCTCAACGAGGCATCGTGCAGCCGTCTTTGTTTATTTTCTTTTACACAGCATGTTTCAAAATGTTTCTTTTCTACATTCGTGGTGTCTATACGTTGTAACTCGGTAATTATCCTGTTGTATTCTAGTCCATTCATATTCACCTCGCTGCCAAAAGCACGCCACCCCCCTCGTCGCCCTAGATGTACATCCCACTTCCACTCCCCCGAGCCTCCGGGTTTGAGGCTGAGAGGCGTTCGCCACCGGTTGTACGTTGGACAAAAGTCGTGGCTCCTGGTCTTTCGGCCCCTCTTACAAAGAGACAGGTCGGAATTGCAGGGAACAAGACTACCAATATCACAGTCGGTGTTACAGTCGGGGTTGCCATTCTAATCTTCATCCTCGGCTCGATCGCTTTCCTCTACTTTTACCGACAATCCCTCAACCGCATCAGTCGTCGCCGACGCCGACAGCGTCGTCATATCTATCACAAGACCGTCAGTTACAGAAGCTCCAACAGAAGCTCCAAGAGCTCCTCCACGAGTGGTCCACCGCCTCCGGGCCCGCCTCCGCCGCCGTCAGCTCCACCTTCCGCAGCCCCTGCCGACCCTCCGGCTGATCCCCCGACCGATCCTCCGGCTCCCCCTCCACCTGCTGCTGCACCTGCGGATAAAGAGTGATATGGCTGTCTTTGATGTTTCGTGAAGCATAGCGTTGAGTGCAGGACAACCAATATGTTGGTCAATAGCCTACCAATGAAGCCTTCCGTTGTGCTAATATGATTACAGGCCTCTCTGATGCTTGTGTACACTGACATGATGTAAGTTAGGTCGTTGTTTGGGTCAGGAGTTTGCTTTGAGCAGGAGTTTGACGGCAGATATGAACGGCGATACCAGGCGCCGGTTGAAAACAGCCATGTACAGTCGATTGCTACGTTTTCTCATCGCGTTCTTTGCCAATTGATTGCAGCCTTTCATCTTCGAAACACGGTTCCTCCATCCCTTATTCAAGCAAACATCTTCACATCCCAACTCACGAGCTCCTATTATGAACAGTTCAGATCTATTCTTATCCCCATGAATCGGAGTATCCCACCTGCCACAAAGCGGCTGCATCAATCAGCCGCCATCTCATTGTCATCCAGGGGTATTGGCCCATCGCCAGCTGCCTCCCTCCTCAGGTCCCGGCTCCCGGGCTCAACGCCGCAAAGAGCATCAAAGAAAGAAAAACAGCATTCGTTGCAGCCCACTTCCATGTCTTCATCAGCATCAGAATAATTGTCATCCATAAATCGCTGCAGTGGGAACATGGGATCAACGCCCCAACCGATCTCTGTCCCTGGGTCGATGTCCCCAGGCGGCGGCCCATAATCGACGAAATCGTCACCCATCACCCCTATGCCGACGCCGATGCCGACGTCGCCCAGTCCCATGCCCATGCCCATACCGGCCACCGGTGCCGGAGCTATCGGCATGCCAACCCCCATAGGCATCTCCATCGGCGGCATCGGCATGAACCTCACCTCAACACCACGAGACTTGCCACGGCCATTCTTGCTGGCCCTCTTCTTTGATTTTGCCTTCTTCTTGGTCTTGGTCTTCTTCTTTGGGCGTTTTTGGTGGTGGTGGTGAGCTCGTCTGTGGTGATGATGAGTCCACCTGTGAGTATGTGGGATTTCGTCTCGGTGTGCGAAGGCAGTATGTCCATGAGTGTGTCCCCGTGTCGTGGGGTGTGCGTGGTGCATCATTGGGTGTTTATGTGGTTTGTGATGATGCTCGGTATCTCCTTTCTTGGTCTTCTTTTTGGGTGAAAAGTGGCAGTTGAAGCAGTAGTATATGATGGCGCACGCGAGCACGGCTGCTAGGAGACAGCCGACGAGCCAGCCTGCTACTCGTCCACCTTCTGCGTCGCGGCGAGATAGTTTGTGTAGTGGCGTGTTTGCGTCGATATGTTGACGAGGGATAGGGGCCATGGCGATACGGACAACTTTGATCGTAGGAAGACCCGGTAATGATACTCATTATAATCAGATGATACCACGCCAGGCTTCCTCGCGTCGACAAAACCAAAACTTTGCCCCGTATCCCAAAGATCGTGGCATGGCGCAATATGAGTCTTAAGTCTGGCACGGCATCACAGGCTGCTGCCAATATATCGAAACGCAACTATGCACCTGATGCCAGTATTAGACCTGAAGCGCCAACAATCAGCAATCAACATGCTACTATTCCTACGATCTAAAGTTCGTTTCATGTACATGCACAAACGCAGCAGACGGAAAGCCGGTCCCAAACCACCGGAGCCCGCAGCGCAACGTCGCACATCCGCCTCCCGGTATTTAGTCACCTCTCTTCATATGATGCAAATGGTCATTGCTGACTCTATTCCCCCCAAAACACGAACGGGAATGGGGGAAAAGACTATCTATCCTATCCTACAAACATCACGGGTATCTGCCAGCCGCTACGTTCCGAAACCCGGGGTCTCCGTCCCCTCGTCTGCAAACTCCATGCTTGTTGAAACCAGTGGGTATTCCCGCCCCTATGCACGTAAAAGCAAATCTCGTATCAAAACACATCCAATGTAGTTTGCTCGTGAGCAGACCCTCAATTTCTCCTCCGTCCCCGCCTCTCCTCCCGCCTCTCCTCCCTCTCCCGGATCCTGACCATAACCGCCCCAATCTTCTCCTGGACGTTCCCCGACCTTTCCGTGAACGCATCGTAGAACTCACAGTCGGCGTGCCCGGGCTGCCTCTCATTCAGCGAGATGATGGCATTCGAAAGCGCCTCCAGCTCCGTCTTTAACGGACCGTAATCCGTCCAGCCATGGCCTTGTCGACGATGCCGCCGCTGTTGCTGCTGCTCGTCACGATGTGTCGGCTCCCGATCCGGTGAATCCCTCCGACCGTGCTCGCTCTGCCCCCGTCTCCGCTGACCGCCGTCCTTTCCATCTCCCCGATCCTCGCGAGAGAGTGCCCGCGAGTTCGCATACCGATCCAAACTACCACCCCGCGTCCTCTCTCGTCCACTACCACTAGCACCACCAGCGCCGCCACTCCTCTCACCACCTCTCTCCTCTCCCGCTCCGCCGCCAAACTTCTCCATAGCTTTGGCCAGAATGCTCTTCCCAATAGTCTCCAGCACGTCGGCGTCCATGTTCGGAACACCGCCCCGGTGCCTCTCCTCGTCGTCCCTGCCCCTGGCCCTTACCCGATCATCGTGGACGCCCCTGTCCCGCTCGCCGCCCTGGCCGGGCATGTACTTGCGCACAGCATACTCGACGAGACCCTTCGCAAGCATCTCCAGAATAAGCTCGAATTGCCTGCTGTGACCGCCACCATCATCTCTTCGTGTGCGGTTGCGGCCGCGTCCGCCGCCGCCGTCGCGGGGAGGCGGGGACGTGTTGCGGCGTGTAAGTGTACGGAGGAGTACGTCCATAGTTGTTAGATTGGTGTTGCTGCTGCAGCGCAGCGCTGTCGATGGTTGGTGTATTTGTGTAAGCGAATGTAGTGTGTGTCTGCGTAGCGATCGATGGTTTTTTTTTTTTCCTTTGGGAGATTTCTCTCCGACTGAAAAGAAGAAAGGAAACCGAGGAAAATTCTCTTTTGAGGCCTTCGAGACTTTTTGTTCTTTCGTGACTCCCACCGGAAAACTCGTGGTGCTGTTTAGCTCCCGCCTGCCAGAGTTCAACTCGTGCCTAAATTTTAGGTCATGCGGCGATGGCGGCCTCTGGTTGTGGTTTTCGCGCCTGCTCTCATGTGATTCACTGCGCCGCGGGCGTGAGTCGAGCGGGTGAGACAGTCGTCAAGTCAGTAGGCCCTCGTTCTCTTTCTTGCCGTGAAATATCGTCCGTTTCGTAAAGAACCGTAAAATATTTCGTAGGGCGAGAAGGGTTGTGTTTGTTTCAAATGACCTGCGTCTGCTGCTTTTTTCGTGTTCTGGTGGGTTTGGTGTGTGATGTGGGTGTGAGTTTGGTGGTGAGGTGCGCAGGTGAGTTTGGTTTGAGGCGAAGTGCGAGGTGCGCACTTGCCTTTTTCGATTTATCTTCAGGCAAGTGTCGCGTGGAATAATCCAGAGATGCCGGGTGAGTATTCGGAACGAGGTCAGTTGTCGCCTTATGGGTGGTGAAGGTGAGGTAGTTGACTTCGACGTCGAGCCAAGTTAACCTACACGATCTAAGAAGGCAGGTCTGCGACAAGCGTTACCGAATCGGCTACGGGCGTTCTTTTCTATTTGCATCTTATTTGAATATCCTTTCGACGATATTTGGTCAACCAAGGTGCAGAGGTCTTTCACGACCTCGGACTTCGGCGCCCTTTATTGCCAATGATTCACTTCACCTCCTCAAAGCATCGTGGCATGCTGCACAATGGGCACAATAGAGACCATGTCTTTGACCAAGTAAGGCCCTTTTAGCCTTTATACAACGTGTCTTGCCATCTTCATTTTGTCGATGGAAGGATACGTATGCTATTTATGTCATCTTCATCGACACGTCGCGTGTCATCCTGGGTGCGTTAAACGCCCAGCACCATAATTATTCGTACATACCAGCCATGAGCGTTATTATCCACAGTCGCCCGTTTAGCTAAGAAGCTCCTTAATGTCCTCAATACGAGCAAGCTTCTTCTCCTCATCACTCATCATGCCAAGCGAAGTCGCACTGAAAGAAGTTAGCAGAAGCAAATGCACCGAACCACAGAGAAACTCACATGAACTTCTTCCGCTCCTGGATACGGAGCATCCTCTCCTCCACAGTTCCATGGCATATAAACCGATAAACCTTCACCTCGTCCTCTTGTCCCATGCGATGCACACGATCGATGGCCTGCGCCTCCACCGCAAAACTCCACCATGGATCCATCATGTATACTCTCTTCGCCGACGTCAAGTTGAGTCCCACGCCACCCGCACGGAGACTGATGAGCAACACTGTAAAAGTCTTTGAGTCCTGAAAGTCGTTCAATACCGCAGCGCGGGCTTTCTGAGCCATGGTACCGTCGAGGCGCAGGAACTTGATGTTGGCCCGCTCCAGCGCCGGCTCGATTAGCGTCAGGAACGACGTGAACTGGCTAAAGACGACCGACTTGACACGCGGCTGCTCCTTCCGCAGTTCGCGCAGAGATTTGATCAGGGCGACCACCTTGGACGATGAGTTGTTTACGCCCAGGCGCTGCAGACTGATTTTCGACTTTTGGAACATGTCCGGGTCGTCATCGTGTCTGACAACCTCGAAAAGGTCGCGGTAGTTGATCTCCGCTCGGCAATTGGGACAGGTAGGAACCTTATGCCTATCGGTCTGGTGTTTCATGTAATCCAAGAGACACTTTTTGCAGGCTGAGTGCCAGCATCCAGTGACAGTCTGCTCGACCATGGGTTCCTCCGCGCAAATGGGACATTCGTTCTCCGCTTCGTCGCGAATCTGACCCAGTATGTGTGCGCCAAATGCGTTGGGATTCGACTCGGACTCGGATACAGTGGCTGAGAATTGCTCAATGAGCGAGCCAAGGTCCATGTCGTCCGCAAGACCAGCGGCTAGGTCCGCAGCCGCACCAGCCTCCGACTCGTCTGCAACAAGCTCCTTATTTCTCACCAAGACGGGATGACAACATGACTGACGAAGCCGCAAAATGTTGGCAAAAATACTGGTAAAGGCCTTCATGACGGTACCAGCCTCCACGTTCTCCCTGAAAGACTGCTTTGCTCGTGTAAAGATGTAGTCATAAATTTCTCGTTCTGTCTCCCCCAGCTCGACATCAACAATCTCGACATGCTTCGGTGGAAGAGGAACGAGTGGCTCGCCGTCTGGAATTTTCATGTCTTTGGTTCGTCTGAGGACCAACGGCTCAAGCACCGTCTGGACAACATCTAGTGCGCGCATGAAATCCTTCGACTCGAAAGGAACAGTGATAAAAGTCTTCCAGAAGGAAAAGTTGTTCCATGGCTCAACCCGGAGGAAGCGAACCAGACTGAAGAGGTCCTCCAGCTTGTTAACGATTGGCGTTCCAGTCAGAACCCAGCGATGCTCGGCGGATATCTCGTAGCAAGCTTTCGCTGTCTTCGACTGTCGGTTCTTGATGTGATGGGCCTCGTCAAGAATAACGCGGAAGAAGTTGAGAGAGAACAGACCGGTGTGGTCGGACTTGTTCCCCTTTTTGGCGGCCACCTGATTGAACTCGGAGAGGACAACTCCGTAGCTGGTGATGACCACGTCAGGGGCAGACGCAGCACTAGCCTCGCAGCACATCGCCTGGAGGTTGCTGGCCTTCTCGTTGCCGTAGTAAACTATGGCCTTGAGAGTGCCCTCCTTGGAAGCTTTCTCAGCCTCACTCTGCCATTGCGCCAGGAGTGACATGGGCGCCACAACGAGCGTCGTACATGGCGCTGAGAGCACGTTGGATGAGTTTGAAGCAAGTCTGGGCAGCTCGTTGACAGACGCAGGGGCACCGCCCTCCGCCTTGGCTCGTTGAGCAATATCGGACCGGTGCGAGTGGACGAGACTGAGCATTTGAATGGTCTTGCCGAGACCCATCTCATCGGCAAGTATACCGCCTAGGCAGTTCTGTTCTTGGACGGGGAAGTCCAGTGACATGTCGCCTGAGTACGGGTTAACGTAAAAGTGCTGCTGGTCCTGTACCTGAGGCAAATCCTTGTCGTCGGTGTCCTTGAGTGGCCAGGCATACTCTTCCCATAGAGGATGCATACTGGGCTCACGGTTGCTTTTTAGATCCTTCTCTTTGGTCATCATCCAGTATAATGCCTGTTTTTGGTATGGCCGCAGGTCCATCGCGAACGTATCCGCCGGCTCCGCCTCTGGTGTATTGAAGTCAAACGACTGAGCCTTCCGGTACAGCGCGTCTAGCTGGTCCTGCTCCAGCTCCTCGCCGTCTTCTTGCTCATCAGAGCCAGGGGAAGACCCCGGTTCCTTGGCTGTGACCTTTGTGGCTTCCTTCTCCTTCTTCTCGTCCATCTCCGCCGCCTGCAGTAATCCTTGTCTCTGATGCTTCGCGTTCTTCGATGCCGCCGAGTTCACTCTCGTGGGTTCGAGGTTGATCTCGTGCAGGAGTTTGACCAAAGCGACCTGTCGCAACCGAAGTTCCTTCTCTTCTGTGGACTCCTTCTCTTCAAAAAAACCCGCCGCCCTGTTCTCTGCGACCTTGAACCCGGGACTGTGGAATGCCGAAGCCAGCAGGTGGCACTTGAGTTGGATAAAGACCGTGTCGTTCGTCCGTAGCCTTTCAGGGGCGTAGACACATGTGCCCTCGAAGCGGCAAATCTTTTGGTCCATTAATGTCGATACCCACTCCGCCGTCTCCTTCGCCAGTCTCCCAATCTCCATGCCGCTGCTCGTCGTAAACCGCACCAAGACATCTACGCGTCTCGCGGCAGCAGATCCGCCACGAGGGGCGACAGTCGTGACGCCGAACTTTGTAACTCGTGTGGCCTTGGGAGGCTGGATCTTTTGCCTGTCAATCTTGACAACATCGCCATGCTTGAGGAGGTTGGCACCGCTGCGCGTAGCCCAGCCCTCCACACCAAGAGATCCAATGTATCGAGACTCGGGCATGCTTCGACGAATGATCGGTTTCGGGGAATCTTCCATCGGGACGTCTTGTGCGGTCGATATGGCGGCGGCGGCGGACGGTCTGGCGAAAGCATTGACCGAGGGAGCCTTCTTCTTGAAGTTCTTCCATGTGCCGTCGAAGTACATATTGACTGCGCGCTCTAAGTTGTTCCCACAGTTCTCTCGTACAACATCCAACACATCCGCAGCAACCTTGTCGCCCACGAAGCTCTCAAACATCTCCTGGTCGAAAGTCATGGCGGACTCTTCGCGCTGGAGATCGGACGGAGGAGGGGCAGCGCGGTTGGAGGCATCTTCGATTGGCTGCTCGACCAGCGGTCCGCGTGACTTTAATGGCGAGGAAGGCGCTTCTGCATCCTCGCTCTTGATCTGCGCCCTGTCGTCGTCGTCGACATCTTGAAAGAACCGCTGCTTCTGGTGTGTCGGCGGGGTGGGCAGCGCCGGGCTCGAGTTGTGGCTCAAGGCATCATCGTCGGAGAAGAAGCGTCTCCTCTTGGCAGGAGGCTCGGGAGAGCCTGTGAAATCCATTATAGAACTTGAAATGCTCCCCGAAATACCCTTCAAGGTGGCAGGATTACAATGCCAAAACAGGCGACCAAAAGTACACTCAACCCAGCTCCAGAGAATGGAGACGCGAGGCGAATCAGTCAGCGCGACTGACCGCGTCGGGTCATCACGTGTTTGCGTGACACCTTATGTAAGCCACTTAAACATCCCTCTGCAAGACGTCATAATTGGGTTAACACGCCGTAAAAAAACAAAAAGTGGTTGACTCGGGCATTTTGCGCATCCCGTCGCCCCAGCTGCACCGCACTGTAAAGAAGACCCACTTGCCTTCAAGCTGCGATTTTCACATTGAAGAAGCAGCCCCGACATGGCGCATCACAACAGCACATTCTCCTGAATGAATCGACCACGCATCGTCGGCCATGGCCTGAGAAGGCTCGTACAGACCCCTCCGCGGGGAGCCAGGGGCATCATCACCGACGCAGACGTCGTCAAGGCGAGGCAGTATTGTCAGTCGCAGCTTCAGTAAGCGCAATCGCCTCTCTCCCATCAGCAGCGGGTAGCAACCTCGACAGTCATTGCTAACAACACCCTAGACACAGCCACCACGATGCCCATTTAGTCTATCGCCTCCTCTCTCCCCGGGCTCAGGATGCGTATCTCGCTCTGCGCGCCCTTAACCTCGAACTCGTCCGCCTCCCCGAAGTCGTCTCGAACCCGGTCATAGGCCAGCTGCGCATGCAGTTCTGGCGCGAGTCGATCGACAAGACCTTCGCCGGCACGCCGCCCGCCGAGCCGATCTGCGTCCTCCTCCACCAGGCCCTACAGGACCTCCGCGCGCGCTCCCGCAGCAGCACCGCGAGCTCGATCCGCTTCTGGGCGCAGAGAGTCATCAAGACGAGAGAGAAGCACATGGACAACCGCCCGTTCGCCACGCTGGCCGCGCTTGAGGAGTACGCCGAGAACACGTACTCGACGCTCATGTACGCCGTCCTCGCCGCGATGCCGCTGCGCTCGATGCAGGTCGACCACCTCGCGAGCCACATCGGCAAGGCGTGCGGGATCGTCGCGACGCTGAGGGGCATCCCCGTGCTCGCAGCGCCACAGCAGACGCAGGTGCACACGCCATCCGGGGCGGAGCCTTCGCGGCCGCGAGACCCGGTCCTGTTGCTGCCGCTGGATGTCATGTCGGAGGTGAACCTGCGCGAGGAGGACGTGTTCAGGTACGGACCCGAGGCGGAGGGGTTCCAGGATGCGGTATTCAAGGTCGCGACGAGGGCGAACGACCACCTTATCACGGCGCGCGAGATGCTGAAGAATCTGCGGGCGGGCCAGGATGCGGGGCACGACTTTGAGCACCAGGGCGAGGAGGAGCACGTGTACGAGGAAGAGCAGGAGGATGACGTGCAGCGGGATATTCGCCGCGGATTTGGCGTGCTGCTGGAGGCTATTCCTGCTCAGGAGTACCTCACGAACCTCGAGGCGAGCAACTTCGACCCATTCGCCGTCAAGGCGAGCTGGAAGCTGGCATGGCGCCTGTGGCGCGCCACGAGCAAGCAACAAATTTAGGCCAGCTATAGAGGCTTGTATTACCAACGAAGGAACTATGTAGGATATGCGTGTACGACTAGAACTGGCTGGCGCGACCTCATCGGGAAAAACAACCAACCTTGCTCCGTCAATGAGACCTCATCGGGAAAAACAACCAACCTTGCTCCGTCAATGAGACCCGAAATTTCAGTGACATTCAGACTTCGAATTGGTGATGACAACTGCTTCAGTTGGATTGGTTCAATCGACCGCGGGGACAGTGCGGATGATCCGTACCCATCACGCGCCACACAGTCGTGGCTAAAGCTTCTCCCCACACCGTCACAAGCCACATTTAGCCATCGGAAAATTCCACATCTGTGGCGCAGGGCCTCCGAAATAATTTGGCCATCGCGAAGCTCCATCCGCATCTCGACTCAACCGCAGTATCGTCAATGTCGACCACAAGATGTTGTACGAACTCGTAGGAATCGTAAGCCCTCCACTTCCCGACGCAATCCCTGCTGCAATCCAGTGACTAACACCTCCATCAGGTCCGTCCGGGCAACCTCGCCGAGGTGAAAGAGTATGCGACCAAACCCTCCCCTCCAAACCGCACCACCACCGCCGCCCCACGATCTTCTCCTTATTCTCCCACCTCAACCCATCCCTCAAACCATCCTAACATTTACCTACCATAGAATCGCCCTCACCGCCGGCCAAATCATCCTCCGCAACGGCGGCGTCATCCGTGGCATGGCCAACTGGGGCGTCTTCCAGCTCCCCCGCCCCGTCTCCAAGGCACAGATGAAGCACAAGTCGGGTCACTACTTCGTCATGCGCTACGACGCATCGTCCGCCACGCACTCCGACATGCGCAACACCATCAACCTCGATCCCCGCGTCATTCGTACCGCGCACGTCAAGCTCGGCGACGGCAAGCTCCAGACCGCCGCCCGCTTTGGTGATGTCAAGTGGGATGGACGCCATTAAAGGCGTGAAGACGAGAGGGACGAATTCATGGATGAGTGAGAGGACAAGGGTTTCTGAGCCGCGAGGAAGTCCAGAGACATGAAGTCTTAAAACCGGTGGAGGATGTATGATATTGAATATTCCCGAGCCAGCGCCGGGTGTTTGATGGCCTGTAAAGCCGGCCACAGCGCGGAGTGTATAACTACGTGGCACGAAAATACAAAAGAGAAGAAACGATCTCCAAGCATACATCAAAAGCGCAAGAGGGGCGATGTGTACTATACTAATCAGTCTGAAGTTCGTGAGTCATATCTGTGTACTGGCTAATGCTGGAATCCGATGCAGCCCGCTCCCAACGTGAGCAGCGTCCAACGCCCATGGACATATGATACTACTTCTGTATGGAGTATGAACTTTCGCCAAGTCAACCATGCCCCGCTGTTACGCGCGATGACAGACATCTATCCCTATCAGGAGCTTTCGGGGCTTCCATAACCTTCGACTGTGAAACCGTGGACTATGGCGTAGACTTTGGCGCGTTTGTAAGCCCTTGATGACCTCGTATTGTTCAGCTTGTCCTCCCGTACAAGCAGAGGTTGTTGGCAGTCAGGCGTCTTCCTCTTCTTCTCCGATTTCTAAGCGTCAACGTCCATAAGAGCGGAATCGGCCTTTCCAACCCCCTTTTCTCTGCACCAAGCCACGAAGTCGTCAATGACGCTCGGCCAGGCACCGTCCTCGTTCCAGAAGGACAAGGTCTCGTCCGACATGGTCTTGGTGGCGAACTCGAGAATCATGTTCCACATGTCGCGGTTGACAGAACGAGTCCACTTCTCATCAAGGAATGACGACCACAACTCGAGCCAGTCATGAGACTTGGTCTTCCATTGCCAGCCTGGTGGCGAGAACAAGACGCTCCAGTAGACCTTTGCTGTGTCGAGAGCTAGCGCCTTCTGGTTCTCCTCCTTGCTGGCGACAAAGGTGTAGCGGTAAACTCTTTTGAAGTAAGCGGGATCAGAGGCGAGTGTGCTGACCAGAGACTTGACGTGCGCGGCGTGAGCTTGACGCGTCGCGGACCTGAATACTTGTTAGTAAAGAGCTGCAGCGTGGCCAAAATTATCAATGACAAGAGTGACAATGTCAGGGTAGCAGCCATGAGATGTGCGCGGTATGAACATACCCGGTTGTCTTCCAGCCATCAATGTAGCCTTTTTTCGTAATCGCGCCAATAGATGGCGACTGAAGAAGCTCTGCGACCACAAGCATCTCGGCGTTCTCGAGGTCTACGCCAAGATTCTCAAGATAGGCCATGGTCGACTCAACACCCATCGTGTCCTTCTCATCTCTTGAATCATCTAGGTCATAAGTTAGCGAATGCAGCCCGAGAGCAGATCGTTTAACCCGTACCACGAAGCTTATCGAACATCTGACCCAAAGACGTGTCGAGTGCTGAGGTTGTGGGTGTGGTGGTGCCACTGGTGCCAGAGAAGTAGCTATAGACAGACCCGTTAGCATGTTCTTCTCGTTCAGACTTGGCGATGTTCAACAAACACGTCGGCAATGTGCACCATCTTGGAAGCGCCGACGACATGGGAATGAGACATAATTGGCAACTTTGCTCAGGAAGTTGAAGATAATTCAAGTACCCGGAGTTCTTCTCCTCACAAACAGGGCTGTTCTTGGACCCTTTTCGTTTTGAAGAAAACATGCTTTTGGAAGCGCGCTTCACACCGTCCCAGCCCATCTTCTCATTAACGCAGGATCGCGCGGCGTCGGTTGTTTGGCAGAACTCCGCAGCGAACTAGCCGGTGTAGCACGAGACGAGCCGCAGGGCGCTGAGTTATAAGGCTGAGGATACGGTATCACCGGAGAACCGTATAGAGTTTGTGTTATTGCAGACTTGCAGACGGCAGGTTCGGAAGGGCAGCGGGAGTGTCGACCGGGCCCCCCTTTCAACGAACTTTCGTGATCGCCGGTGATGGGTGGCAGCTGGTTGGCAGGCGGGCCAGTCCGTGAGTTGAAGCGCCGGTGTCAATTAAGACGGAAAGACAGGAGCTGGCTAGTCGAAACAAGTCCAAGTGGCGGCTGCCACGGCAGTTCGTCAACTTAAGGGCCATTCTAAGTGCAGATTGAATGTTTCAGGAACCATTGACAATCGGCGTCGATTCGGCCTTTCTCTTGATTGTGTGGACGGTATGTGACCCCGAAAAGGGACTGGGCTGCGACCTCCTGGGTGCAGGAGCATTGTCCAGCAAGCGCAGCGCAACGGCAGCGTTATCGAACCCGGAAAAAGCAGCGCTTCGGGGCAGTGAGTGGGCGGGAAAGCCGCATATTCCCCCACAATGGGCACCTCAGTCAGAACGTGGGCGAGCCGCCAACAAGGCAAGGTAGCGTGAGGTACAGCAAGGTGCGGTCCGTATCCATGCGCGGCGTGCTGCTCTGCAGGCCAAATTGCCCCGAGAAGGGCCGGTGCGCTCTTCAGTCCGATTGATGGATGCTTCGGAAACCACTTTAAAAGAGCGGTAAAAGACCACTGGCAGGCGACGTAACCGGGCAAAGACACCCAGGCACCGAAGCGAGAGACGAAACAGAGGGATACAAAAGCGACGTGCAAGACGAAAAGAAAAGCCATGTCGAACATGGAAGGGATGACTTACGCATCGACGGCCTCGTTGATCTTGTAGCCGGAATTCTTCAGGTACTGTTGGTGAGCAGCAGTCAGCATTTCATCCAGCACTAAAGAGTTGCATCGATTCGCCATAGTCGTCCGTCTGCCCCTCCCCCGCCAAGGAGAGTCGCCTCGGTGCCCATCCAAGCGCAGCGTCTAGATGGTGCAAGACAGCGCGACACAACGTTGCAAAGCACGGCAGCAACCGACGTTCCTCCGGTAGGTAGCAGACATGGCCTGCGTCTTGCAACGTCGGGTAGGACGATGAGGGGTTCTCCGGCATTGGGGGAGAAGCTGGGCTGTGCGAAGGAGTGACGAGAGCAAGACAAGACTCGGTTGGGATGTTTCTCGGTGGGAGATGAACGTACCCGTTGTGCGGTTCTGTCGCTGGCACCCGTCAACTGCACGAACTGGGTCGCCAAAGCCTTCTGGGTTGACGAGGGCGGCATTGTGGCTGCGGTGGTTCCACCAAGTCTGTCGTATCGATTCGGTCTCGATCCCGAGGGGCGGAGGAGAGGTTCTGGGGATATCGCGTGACGCAGCTGTTCTCTTTACCGACAAGAGGAGATTGCGACGATGTGGGTTGGTGACTCGGGCGATGGCGCAGTAGATGTAGACGACGTCGGCTTGGAGTAGCGATTGCCGCGAAAGACGGTGTCGGTTCCAGGCAGGTCAATGGTCGCGAACGACGTCGATCGTTGGTTGTCGCGGAATGTGGTGGTCGAAGGGAAGGCAGAGGAAGGAGCTAGAGCTGCGACTTTGGAGACTGACTGGGACGAAGCAAGGCTGAGATAGATATGGTGGGGTAAGAGCGGCCGACGGATTTGAGGCGGGGCAGCTCCTTCATCGGCAGGCAGCACAGGGTCACCTACACTTTTTTTTTCTTGCTTCGGGCAGCTGGAGTCTGGAGAGGTCAACCTGGAAGGCTTTGCCTCCCGAGTCTAGTAAGGCAGGTCCCGTCACAGCGGTTGGTCGCTAAGGCAGTGGAGAGCCACAGGGTGCTGCGAGCGGTCTCCAGCGGTGTCTGAAGCACAGAGGTGCCTGAAATCAGCCTGTCCCTGCCTCCCGCAACTCCCGTCAATGAAGGTTCCTAGGAACCCCGCCTTCCTAATCGGGCTCAAGTCTTTGGAGCTTCAACTCGACTTCCATGCCTAGTACTCGCTTTTCAACCCATCAATGTCCCCTCGAGTCTCTCCCTTTCTCTCTCCTCACCGCTTTCACCTAGCAGTCTCGGGTCATTCCTTCCCGCCCGTTTGCTTCATCTCATCCTTCTTCGTCCCTATGCACAGCCATGCACTGTCATGAAACTTGGCTTGCCTTGGACACGCAGGACTTGGAAGTTCAGACGGGTGTCTAATCGACCATGATTTTTTGTGCCTTAAGACCCATTTGAGCCTTCAAGGTGAGGTACCTGGGTAAAAAGAAATACTGATTGTTGCTCAATGTCTTTTTGGATTCCTTAAGATACAGCTTGACAAGTTTGTTCGTGTGGTATGTTTGACTTCTTCCCATATTCTTGGCATCTGTAAAGGCCTCGAGATAGCCATACAAGAACCACCGTGAAAACAGGATTATCGTCGTCTGCATCAAGATAGGAAAGATATGTGGGTGGTATCGTTGAGATGTGTGAGTTGCAGGACATCTCACATCAATGGAACCTACCTCGCCTACCTTAGGTAGATGTTAGATCACTGGTAGCCAAGATACAGCGCCTTCAGGCAGCTGCGGTGCACTGAGTGTGCTCCAGGTGCCCCACACTCCCCCAATGACGTCTACCAATAGCGCCTCCTTGCCAGACTTCCATCGCTGCACCGACGTTAATTGATTGGAGCTGGCAGCAGACGCGACTTTTTTCTTGACGCGCCGTTGCCCTTGCACAGCTTCACGCATGTCACTCACTCTCTGGCAATCCTCAGCCATATCCAACAGCAATACAAGCAGCTCCCTCGACATATCGCCTTCCAACGATATGCTGTAGAAATGGACTCTCCGTACAGTCGGGAGTCGAGCGAGCCCCCCTTCGACTCTGCGCATCCCTTCAATGGCGTCGTCGTCTGCTGCACCAGCATCCCTCCCGACCAGCGAGTAAGTCGTGATGCACATCGCATTTGCCCCTCAGCCACCCGCGAGACTTTCCACCTGCGAACTCTGTCCGGAGAATCTCTGACACCTGCTTCAGGCAGAAATAGCCAAAAAGACCGAAGAGCTCGGCGGAATCCACAAGTACGACCTCACCCCCGACGTAACCCATCTCGTTGTCGGCGACTACGACACCCCAAAGTACCGCCATGTCGCCAAGGAACGTTCCGATATCAAGGCCATGGATGCCACCTGGATCGATGCCGTAGGGAAGCTGTGGATGGCGGATGTCAATATTGATTTCCCGGCTGTCGAACGCGAACATCAACTCAAGCCTTTGGAGACATGCGGCGAGCTCCCCGATGCCAGTAATCCTGCCGAATCGAAGCGAGGGAGCCTGTTGCTGTGCATGACAGGCTTTGACGATCGTAGGTTCGCCCATATCCGCGGCGAGGCGCAGTTCTGACACCAGTGTAGCCGACGAACGTAACCGAATCATCGAGCGAATTCAAGCCAACGGTGGCACTTACACCGGCGACCTGACGAAACGAGTGTCGCATCTGATCGTACATAAGCCAGAGGGAAAGAAGTTCAAGGCTGCCCGTAACTGGGGTATCCGCACTGTTTCCCTCGCATGGCTCGACCAGACTGTAGAGCGTGGCTTGATTCTCGACGAGCAGTGCTTCGATCCGGCTCTGCCACCTGAGGAGCAGGGCCAAGGTGCTTGGAACAAGGTCAACCCGAAGCGGGTGTCTCTCGGCAAGCGGTCGAGATCCGGAGTCGTTGAGGGTGGTCAGAGGAAATTGCGCAAGACGGCGAGTATGAAGCTTAGTAGCCAGCGCGAGTCGCTTTGGGGCGACATCCTCGGCAGCAAACCCACCGGAGAGTCCTCTGCACCCGACAGAAGCGAGAGAATCGAGGTTCAAGACTCGGGTGTTCACGACGCCATGGTGCAGCCAGCTCCTGATGCGGGCATCTTCTCGATGTGCTACTTCTTCATGACTGGTTTCGAACCGTGGAAGACAAAGATCCTAGCCGAGACGATAGGTTCCCTCGGCGGAAAGACCTATAACTTATTCGAGGAGATGGTTACAGATTCCAGGGTCAGACCACGCCATAGATTCCTGATTGTCCCGCAGGAATCTCAGCCCTCGACACATTATCAGGTCCCTTCAGCACACGTCGACAAGATCCAGATAGTAACGGAGTTCTTCATCGAGCGGTGTTTGCACAACAAGGAGCTTTGCGACCCAGATGGTCATGTTCTGGGCCGTCCGTTTCCCATGTTTCCTATCTCCGGCTTCGAGGACCTGTCTATCTGCACGGCAGGCTTCACCGGCATCGATCTTCTTCACGTAGAAAAGGCCATCAAACAGATTGGCGCCAAGTATGCAGCCAGACTCAACGACACTACTTCTGTGCTGGTCTGCAAGTCCATCACGGAAACGCGCAAAGAGAAGTTGAAATTCGCCTTTGAAAACGACATACCTATTGTCGGCTCAGACTGGCTTTGGGAATGCATAACGACGGGCTTCAATGCTCCCGTAAGGACATTCATGTTCTCAGAAATCAAGCAAAACCCCAACCTGGAACCCCGGCCGAAACCCAAGGAACAGCCCAAGGAAACTAAACAGCCGATCCAGAGAACACGGTCCGAACCTATCCCTCACATGCCGAAGAAGCCTGTATCACGGCACACGTCGGCTGTGGGAATTGACCAAACCGCCTTCCAAGATGACCGTCCAAAACCTGCGGCCCCAAGGCAGAGTATTACGAAGGCGGATTCAGCTGCGTCTTTCCAGTTCCAGACGGCCAAGACGCATCAGATGGATAGTTTCGGTGGC